CCCGTCCGCTGAGCTTCCCAGGCTTTGGTCAAAATCCATGGGGCCTGACCCTCGCCTCCAACCTCCCAGCTTTCAGCCCTGCCCAGTCCCAGCATCCCAGGCATAGACAGAGAGTATGCCTGGGATGCTGGGACTGGGCAGGGCTGAAAGCTGGGAGGCTGGAGGCGAGGGTCAGGCCCCATGGATTTAACCAAAGCCTGGGAAGCTCAGCGGACGGGTTTGTAACGGACGTTTTGGTGCTTCAAATTTTCTCGCTCTCTGATTTCTGTGCTTTGGGGTCCACTAGCTTGGGTTAAATTCACAAGGCGTTGACTCCAGGGTCAGGCCACCTGCTTTTCACCCAGGGCCTTTCCGCCAAGGATGCTGGAGTGGGCTGGCTGGGATGAAACCCAGGCCCATGGAGAATCCAGCTTGATTCCAATGTGTCTGAGGTTGAGGTCAGGCCCCCTGAGTCTTACCAGGTGCAAAGTCTGCTGTCAGTGCACGTCAGAGTAAGGGCATCTTTCTTTGTTTTTTCTTGGACAAACAAGACTTAGAGCAGTGTGTGCCAGGACAGATGCAATATCATGCGACCCAGATTTCCACGGATGGAATCTTCCTCGAAGTGCTGGATATCATGCTTTATGCTTGGATGCAAGATGTTGACCTGAAGTTGTTGATGAACACCCGTGAGCGCTTGCAGCTATCGTCAGCGGCTGACTACCTTCAAGGCATTTTGCCTGCAGGCAACACGGACTTGGAGCTTCGCTTGCCGCTAGAGTACGCAGCTTCCTGGACAATTGTCATTACAGCTGCGGATTTCGAGCCCACGGCCGTGCCTTCCAACATGAACCATTTCTTGCCTTGTTGGCCCTCAAGCACTGTCGCCGCAGCTGAGGAGAAAGCTCGGGTCGAGGCCGCCGCCAAGCGCACGAGACGTGCCATGCTGGAGCGTCTGCAAAGCACAGCAGATGATGATGTTGTGGAATCCATCATGTCGCAACTAGAGTATGAGCGCCAAAAAAGAATGGCCTTGCTGCGTCTACTGGATAGGCTGTTTCTTGAAGCTGAGCAATGCGGGCGCAATGTGCCCAGCGATGGAAACTGCGGCGTGTGTGTGGTCAATTTTGGGCTTGTCTCGTGGGTCACCCTTTATGGCTGCCACCTCCGACGCTGCTACCCTGGAGCAGATGAGGTCTGTGCGTGCTGAGATTGCAGGCAAGTGGTTGCAGTTCGCCAGCCATTCTGCATGCCAGTGAAACAGCAGCAGCCAGATGTAACAGGTGGACTTGGCGTTGCTTGTCCAGTGCACTCATGCCCAAGAGGCCCATCATGCCCCGTGACCCCAATATCAAGGATGAGAAAGCAAGCTCGGATGCTCCTGAAATTCCTGAGCCACCCCAAGCTGTGAAGAAGGAGTTGGATGGCCTTCAGGCTCTGAGGGAGCAGATGCCCTCATCGCAGCTGACACCAACAGCCCGGCGGGCAATTGCCGCTGGCCTTGTGTCCCCAAGGCCTGAGACTGGGCCCAGTGTTCCATTGAACCAGGTTTGTGCGCAGTCGACATCAACACACGTGAAGTCCGAGCATGCAATCTTGGGAGACACATCCGTGCCTCAGAGTCGTAAGAAGCGGTCTGTGTCCCAGGCAGGGCAACTAGTCTCCGTGAAGCACGAAGACCAGCAAGATACAGCGCAACTTCCCGCCAAGAAGCACAAGGGTGGCAAGGCAACAGCAGCAAGCCAGAAGCAGAAGCAGTTAAAGAAGGCCCGAGGCTATCTTGCTGAGCGAGGCATATTTGCTGGTGCATACATGAGTGCTCACTCAAAGACTGGGATTCTGCGGGGTGTCAGCACTTGCGCTGTAGGTGGATGGTCCATCTTGCTGGACAAGCTTGTAGCAGGTGAAGTTCCAAAGGCTTGTGCAGTCTGCGTGGATTTTCTGGCCAGCAAACAGCTGGACATACGCGGTCTTATGGATCACATCGAAGACGTTCCTGGTGTTCCTGGATGTGATGCTGGCGCCGCTGTAGCCAGTGCCAGCAAGCAAGAGGGGCAGAATGCGCTTGTGAAGCAGGAGCTTGAAGAAGCCCCAGACACTGGCGATGTGGTTCCTCTCCAAGATGAAGGCACGTCTGCTGCTGGGGAAGAGGTGGACGCCCGGGCTCTTGTGTTGGCAAATCCCCACCTGCGACTGCTGCCTGACGGGTGGGGCAAGAAACGAACTCCAGTGGAATGCCTTGTGTGCAGGCGGAAATCCACCGGAAAACTTGCAGTGTTTGATTTGAGTTCAGCAGGCGGTCGAAAGAGTTATGACCAGCACGTCACTGGCCCAACACATGTGAAGAATGTGGCCTTGGCACGTTCTGGAGCCCAGACATTCCAATCATCGAAGTCTGCTAGGCACGCTGGATCCGCTATTGTGGTTCGTGAGCCATGTGAGCCTGGCGAACATGAGGGGTATGAGAGTGATGGGCACCAGCCAAGTGAGCCAGTTGCGCTGAGGTGTCAAGGGTTGCATGTTCAGCAAGCCCCCAAGGGTGCTAAAGTGGCAAAGCTTCTGCCAGCCTTTGAGCTATGGGTTGGATACAATGTCCGCTCGAGTGCAATCAATCTTCATGCAGAGGACGAGAGGCACGCCTACCTTCATGACCTCAGCACCGGCCACTACATCATCACCCATCACAGTTGCCAAAAGGATGCTGCGTCCATTGTTGAGACGGACGTGCCGCCCCTGTGCGACAAGTGCATGTCTTTAGCCAAGGCTGGTGCGCATGGCGCTGCGCTTCTATTTGAAGCACTTCGCTGCCCATCTGTTAGCTGCCAGGCTGTTTGAGCCAGACCAGGCCGAGGAGCTGATCGGCAACATGAAGTCGAGCTCAGTCTACCAGGTGCGTTCCAAGGAACTTGATGAGGTGTGCCAGCTTGCCACGCAGCCCTTGCAGGCCTTTGTACGGTCACAATTTCTTAGCATCCCCCAGAAGCATTGGTCTATGCCTCTCCGCAACCTGATGTCAGCTCTGGTGTGGCCATGCCTGAAAGTTTCTGTGTCAGGATGGGATGCTCGAGTTGTTTCAAGTCAGGGCTCATTGCGCCGCATTGCAGAAGGGATGCGCAAAGGCAGCTTGTAGGAGGTGGATCTGAAGCTGGCCTGTGCGGTGGCATCAGGGGCTTTGAGTCAACATCCAGTGGTGCAGGGTATTTTGGTTGCCGCCATCGCTCAGGCTGAACGGGCAAGCAGAGGCAAATCTGGGATGCGCAACAACAAGCTGTCCGATCTGGAGCTCTCACTCATGGCGGAGGCCGGCGTCGTGATCGCCATGGCAGCTTCGAATCAGCACCTTGTCCGAGAATTTGGGCTAGCGTTTACAGTCCCCAAAATCCCAATCGACAACATGCACGCCTTCAGCTTACCATCTCCCTTTCTGGCTCACACGGCCCGTGAGACTCTTCTAGAGAACTCCTTGGTTATCGACAATCACATCAACCACATTGCTGTGCACCCTGCAGAGCCTTCAGATGATTCAGTTCCTCAGCCTGCCGTCGCAGCCTCCCGTCGTTGCCTAACGCTGGCTTTCGACAAAACGTACATCCTGCAGTCCCTGGATGTGGCAGTGTCCATATGGCACAGAGGGGGCCAACAGCAAGGATGCGAGTTTTCTACCTTTAAGGGCAGAGGGGTCCAAGCTGGCGGAGTCAGGTGAGGACGAGGGTCAGGATGGTCAGGTGGCCTTGGATGCTGCGAACATCACGTACGCACGGGAGGTATGCGAATTCTTGATGTGGAATCCATCTTTGACAAGTCTTCCACGGTTTTCCCTCTGCAGCATACCGCTGGCGTACGAGGTCTCTGCTGTGCAAATGCTTCAACTACTCGGCCAGGTGCTGGATGGGGCCCCGCACGTGAAAACTTTGGCTTTTGACAATGCGTCAAACCACATCCTGGTGAAGTGCATGCTCACCGGGCAGAGTACAGGTCTACCAGCTATGGAGTTGCGAAGGATGCCATTCTGGAATCGTGTTGTGCATCAGCCATTGCCAGACACTTGTCTACCCCGATTCCCCTTTCAGCGGTGTGTGATTGAAGGACAAGCTCTGCTGGGCTTAAATGGTCCAGCTCACCTACAAAAAAACATAGTAGGTCAATGCCGCTCGCCTGCGCGAACAATCATGTTCGGCAAATACTTTGCCGACTGGGCATCTACCCTCGACCTCGGCATGGCGCCCGGTGCTTTTCAGGGCTTCGACCCACAGTCAGATCGCGAAGCAGCTGTCTTCTTCAATGGGTGGCATTTGATTACCGAGCTCAGCCAGGAGATCAATCAAGTGAAAATACCGTGGGCTTGGTGGGGGGCTTTGTTGGTAAACCTTGTTTCTTGTTTGGCAACAACGGCAGCTTTCCACCCTGATCTATCTCCAGCTGAGCGACTTGAAAACTCTATGGCTGCTTTCGTCCTCCTAGACCTCGGTGACATGCTTGCATCGGATGAGTGCGCGCGGCGAAATCAACCCAAAGGCTCATGTTGGCTACACAAATTGACGCGCAAGAACCTGCAGTTCCTGTGCGGCATGCTTGCCATTGCAGTTTGCAGCCTTGATGTTGGTGTACCCTTTGTGCCGCGTCGCAGCTCGGAACTTCCGCTTGAGCAATTCTTTGGCTATCTGCGGAGCCAGTACGGTAGCTCTCAGATGACTATCCGGGACTACATTCATGCCTCGGCCAAGAAGATGCGGCAAACCTCCCTTCGCATGAAGCGAGACCCTCCCCAACCCTCGCATGCTCAGGCACACTCGGCAATCACGGATGATGAGTTCGCGGCCTGTGCTCAGAGGGCTCTCAATAGCGCTGTGAAACTAATGGCTTGCTGCTCAGATCGCACCCCAGGGGCTTTGCTGAAGGCTTACGTGGCCTACGCTGCCAAGCATTCCGCTGACATGGATCTTGCAGTATCTGGAGCAGCTGACCTTGACATCGACCAGGATGGGGAGCCCATGGAGGATTTGCAGGACAACGAGGCGCCACCGCCAGGCATTGTTGACGCTCCATCATCTTCATCAGGCGGGAGTAAAGACTTAATAATCTCAATTAGATTTATATGGGATATATAGGGCCCCGTATTTCACGGCTTAGCTTTCAAACATCCATTCAGGTCCAGTAATGTTGGGCAATCCCCAGGTGATGCGCCGGGCCCAGCTATGTCAAGAAGTGATGCAGAATGCTTTCAGCTACTCACGCAGATTCAGGCCAGGGAGGCCGCGGATGGGACATCTTGGGAGGAGCCTGTGTTGCCAGTCATCAATGAGGAGCATGCGCAGCGGCTGGGAACAGGTCCTCAGCCACCTCCTGATGCCTTGGATGAGGACTGCTGGGCCTTTGTGATTGGGGGCGAAGAGGAAGTTGATCATGCTAAGGGCGCAGCAGATGCAGCTTGCGGCGATGCGCGGGCTGCCAAAGTCTTGACCTTGGGTCGTGCGTTGGCAGAAGCTCGAATAGGAGGTGAGTTGACAAGTGTGGAGCCCGTCATGCCTTGGCTTTGGTTGCTCCTCGTGAACCTCCGAACCAAGGCTGATGCACATGCGCTTCCAGATCCTGCGCGAACTAGGCGATTGCGGCGGAAATTGCACTGGCATCAGCTGGCTTTACGAGAGGCGGCACTGGTCAGGGAGATGTGCGGGGCTCCTTCGAAGCGCACAAGTCGTGCCGCCGCTTGGAGGGCATTGACGGCATCACTGAAGGCAAAATGTGAGGGCTCGGATGCGGCAGATGTTCAGCAGGTTGCCTCCGGCATGTTTGTATTGCTGGTGCCTCCTGGCTATGAAAACTGGTGCGTTGGTTGTGTCCTGAGCGTCTGGAGAAAAACTGCGCGTGGATCCAAGCTCACCCACTTGCCCGCTCCAAGTGAAGCTGTTCGATGCGTGCGTGTTGCCATCATGCGACCGGTTGAGGGCAAGATGGAGGGCACCTTTGCAGCCGGAGCCGACAGCCACGCAATGGTTGCAGCTGTTCATCGAGTTGGCCTCGTGCTACAAGCTTCTGATGTGCTGCGCGGCTTGGATGGTTTGCACTGCACGCTTACCCCTCAGCTTGGAGGTTGTTCAGAAGGCATCTCAATTCAGCACATGGCCTGATGATTTGGTGGGGCATTTGCCGGCCATTACATCATCCGCACCGGTGCCCAAGCAATCCGAGCATCCAGCGGCAGAGGAGACCGTGCAGGAGCAGGAGAACAATGGTGATGCCAGTGGATCAGGTGGTGCAATCCCCGGAACACCATCAAATCCAAAAACCCCGAAGCTCCAGCAGCAGCTCGTGAAGGCTCTGGCCCAGCAGCTGCATGTCAAAGCCAAATCCATGGAGAAGACAAAGGAGATACCTGCAATCAAGCTGAAATGTCAGCAGTTGTTTGATCAGTTTGTTTGATGTTGGTGAGTCCCTTTCGCTAGGATTTCTAATATTTACGAATCCTAAAATATTTATAATATTTCAATAATTCTAGGTCTGATTAGGTCTCTTCTGTATCAGCCCAGGCCATCCCATGCAATTTCACGCGAGCGAAGAAGGGCGATGCACTGATCGCCCAAAAGATGCAGAAACTACTGGAGATCGACGCTGCTCACCACGCGGCTCGCCCTCTCTTGACCACCGAGGGCCGAGTCCGAGGCAAAGATGGAAGGTTGGGGCCGAAGTGGGAGGAAATCCGTGCACGTGCTCCAGCGTTCTTCAGTGCAAAATTTGAGAAGGTGCGGAATCGAGAGGCGTATGGCAAGGCGGTTCACACGTTCCTCGTTCGATTGCATGCTGAGCTGTCCCACGAGCCACACACGCGGACCGATGCTAGGTTTGATTGCAGTACCATGTTGATCACCTTTTTTTGGGGTATGCGTGAGCTGTTGGAACGTCATGAGCTCAGGGATTCTTGCAGCTCGTCCGGGAGATCGAACTTGGAACCACAGGGACGGTAGCTGACAGTGCTGCGAGGGCACGTAGAGCTGTTGGAACGTCATGAGCTCAGGGATTCTTGCAGCTCGTCCGGGAGATCGAACTTGGAACCACAGGGACGGTAGCTGACAGTGCTGCGAGGGCACGTACGTGATGTACAGGAGGGCCCAATGCAATTGCATTGGGATCGCTTCAGCTCTGAAGGCTCGGGATTTAAAACTAGCTACAATAGATTTAATAGACATAGTCTAGGAGGAGAGCCATCCGGGTTGAAGCAGAAGCAGTGATCCTGGAGTGCGCAGGTGGAAAAAAGATGGATCAGAGAGCGATCTTTCTTGCATCCATATTGCAAGGTCAGACCCCATGGTTTTTACCTGAGGCATGTGTTGCTAACATCAGCTCATGATTCCTTCCCAACCATCTTTCTGACGGGGTCAAGCCCTAAAGTCAACCCCCTCTCAGAGTAGGTCCAGCCACCTGGTTTTTACCAGGGTTAATTGGTGGTCGGACCCCCCTGGGTATAACGCACCCCTATTTACAATCTGCGTGCAGTTTCTACAACAGTCATAATACAGCCTTCACAAGCCTCCACATATTTCCCACATCGCTTGCCTAAACGAAAAGCCCCAGCCTAGCCGCGTGTGCCAGGTTGCTCACGGTCCCTTCTGTGGCGCTCCCTTGGAGCAGGCCCATTTGGAGGTGTAGAGTACAGGGTCTAGAAGGAAACTAGTTTCTTCAGGTTTTTTTCTTCGTAATGCCTATACATGTCAGGGGGCTGTACAGCTACGTATCCCGGTTGTGTTCAATCTGAGGTGGGGAGATGGTTGCGTCTGGTAACCATATAATAGGCCAGCAGGTCCTAGGCCCTCAGCCCTAGGGTTCTAGGCTTCACAGGCGAGTCTTTTTTTTGGATGCTGTCGGCTGTCTTGCAGTCATTTCAGGATGTAAAAGCATGGTAGGGATCGATGGTTCCTGTGTGCTGATAAAATCTGCAGCACAACGAACATTGATCCGTAATGATCCGTACATACACTACACCACAAAGCAGAGTCTCATAGCCCAGCCCACCCACGTCGCAGGGCCCGCGCCAAAATGAGCCGTGCTAGTTTAGACCAGATGACATGAGGCTGGCAGGCCGAGCTGTGTGATGAAGTGTTGGGACTCCCAAACCTAGAAAGCCTAAAGTTAAGGGCTGGAGGAAGATACCACCGCATCAGAACCCTACCTACCAGACCTCCAAATGGCCAATCTCCGGACCCGATATTCGACACACTGCATGGGAATGCGTTTCTCTGAATGCCCAACTCCAATCTGATCCTGTCTCAAACTTGTAATCTAAACTCTCCATGTGCCAGGACCCGATGCCTAGAGGGAACTCTCCTCAGGGCTCTCCTGCTGCACAGGCGCTGAGTGCCTGGGTTTAAGTGTAAACCAAGGGTCTACACATTTTTGGGGTGGGTATAGGGAGCGGGCGCGGCTATGCCATAGCCACTAAGCCACTAAGTGTCTTGTACTTCCGTGGCTTCATTACCCGTGGCTGTTGCGACTGAGGCTGCGCAGATAGACTGTCTGGCATGGGTAGTGATTTTAGGCGGTGCTTCCCAGAAACTATTAGCCTCTCCCTTGCTCAACAAGCAGTAGAAGAAGCTGCAGGGAGAGGAAGGTCATCCTTCGGAACCTTAACTTAGGTAGCAATACCATCCTACAAAATTGGAAGCGTTTTTGGCTTTCTTCTCACAACTTGCTTTTGCCTCCGGCTACGTGATCAGATTCATGATGATGTGCTGTGACGCAAGCTAGCTCTACTCCAAATCAACGCCTGGATGATATTGAAAGAGCATGATTAATGAGCTACATATTGACCCGCTTTTATTTGGGAACATCTCCTTCTTTGCTTATAGTACACGGTACCCGAAAAGAGTATTCTTCGTTCGCTAGGTTGAGCAGTGCCCCAAACTCCTAAAGTCTGTCAACATGAATGAAGCCCTCGTAAACTACGCATGCAGTGGTCATCTTAGCACAGGCCATCTTTGGGGTGTCGCAGGTCTGATGGAGCCTTGAGTGTAGAGGGTTTTGAGCGGATTCTCCATGCAACTACAGGCATGCCCTGTAGTCTGACAGTTGGTGACGTTTATCTTCTGCCAGGCGCCGAAGGGTGATACTGCGAGCGGTGGGTCGCAGAAAGTGGAGGATTCAGCCTAAATGCATTTCAAACTATTGCAGACTTTCAGCAGATTTCTCGGAGTTGCGTTGGATTTATGGCAGAATCCTTGCATGGCCTAGGGTCTGGTAGGGGCTCGGGCCCAGGGCTTAAGCAGCCATGCGAAACGTGGGACTTTGAACCCATTACACACTCCTACACAAGTCTCAAGTATGACCAGTCTATGTGTTAACTTCCCTGCACAAAGCGTTTCACCTGTTTCATGTCAATCGTCCAGGGTGCCAAGCGGTCCTTCATGTAGCAAATTGCAGGCGTAAATCCATGAGGATTTGCTAGGTAATGGGCCACACAAAAGTTCCGGTCATGCTCGTGCCTGGACGTGCGGCATCAACCGTGCATGAGTGCACAGGCAGTCAGGAATGTCGCTGTGGACATGCATGACGAGCAATACTCAGCTGATCCACAGTTTGCCAGTTTGCGCCAGGGCGGAACCTGGCGGAGTTGAGCTTCTGAGAAGTACAACTTCGCCTACCGCCGTCTTACCAGTAACACTCAACAGCGGACTTGCAGAGCAAGTGCCCGAAACGAAGTTTTCATTCGCCACTCCCGCGACCTAGCAGTGTAAACGCTGCTTGTCTCACGAGTTCTATGATCGCGCGAGTTGGCAGCTACATTGTCAGCTTCAAACATTACCAGCCCGAATGTACCACGCACCTGTTACATTACTGCACGAACTAGTGACTAAGTAGTGTGTTGACAGATCTGTTTGCTCGCCCGCCCAGCAGTTGTATCTAGAGTGAGTCTTGCAGAGGCGAGATGCTCGCATTCGAAAAGTTGGTGATGCCGTAGCACACTAGAAACTTGACTACTGTAGAATCCTCACGTGTATTTTGAAATGCTTCCCCCGCATGCTTATCATGATCGGATCCTTCCCGCTTGACTTGGCATATCTCGTCACCAAGGCCATTCATGTTGAGATTCCTGAATACATTCAGAATATTGTGCGTTCGTCAGTGTGCATTGGTAAAATAACATTCCACCAAATTCTTCAGGTTGCTACGTTGCGCTGTGTACTATCCGAAATACGGAATTCTCACCGGCTCTGCCAGCCGCTCTTCGTGCATCAGAGCTAGACAGGAAACCCATTAGTTTTTACCAATCATTGGGTTACAATGACGTTTTGGAGTTTGCTAAGTGTGTTGGGATATATCTGCGCAGTATCACCATGGTTGCTCTCCACCGACTTGAAATTCAGGCTCCTCAGAAGGCTTGCAACTTTGACCTTACATGAATTTCTGTCTAAGGTATGGTTGAACCGGGAAGACGAGTGTTTGGCGTAAGGCCCCGCACTGCAACGTGGTATCATCCCACACATATTCCACAACGAGATCTCATGTCGTTTCAGCTTTCTGACAGGTGTTGGTTGTAACTCGAAGAAGGTTTCCAGCCTTTCTAGCCATTCAGGATGTGCGCCCGGAGACAAACCCACGAAGAAAAGAAATCGGTAAACCTCGTGCTCTCACTTCGGGTCTGATAAGAGTGGTAAGAGCAACCATTGTGACATATATAATGTAAGTCGCAGAAAATACAATCAGGATGAGCTGTGAAAAAACATGACGTTTGCTACATATCAGAATTGAGAATATCAATAGTTGTCACGCTTGTAAGAGTACGTTTATTCCTAAGACCTACCAAGAACAAAAAATGGGAAACAGGTTTGGCGTGCTGTCCTCCTTGCTTGGTCTGGTCTAAGTTGTCTCAGGCGTAGGTAACCGTTCAAAGTCTGTGGTATCAACGACAAAACAGCATAAGAGCTTAGTGAGAATGGGGATGGTGGTGGCTACAAGTAAATCACAAAGTCTATGGCGTTGGCAAAAGTCCAGGCTATATTCATCAAGGAGCATGTAGGACTGTGTATGAAAAGTGCATCGTTCTGCCTCTGTCGAATGCCCCAAGCCCTGAACGGTAAAACCTCAGTTCCTAATTCTGCTCCCTGAAACCTGACGTGCTCTCTACGAGCGAGTCTCAGCCCAGAAGAGGGTCCAACGGGGTCGGAAGCGGCCATGAAGGGGAACACGAAGGCGGGACTCTTGGTATCGGATCCAGATGATGACTCCAGACTGTACAACATGCGTAGACGAGAGATTCTCCGAGCATGCCGCTGTACAAGTGTCTTCGAGTCCACCCCTAAACCCAAGTCTAAGTTGTAGACCATCTTGCCGCGCCTCATTTACCCGCTGCGCACAAAGAGTGGTATTTTGGGAAGTCTAAGGTGTGGCAAGACTTTGCTCATGCACTATTGATGGGAAGGCCCAGAACGCCTTCTCGATGGCAGCGCGCCCTCTCTACTCCGCTGGGCGCACTGCGATTTGGGGCTATGTAAGGGCTAGAAAATTCCACGGTACGCAGGGGATCGTAGGCGGACTCTTAATGTTGCGAATGACAGGATTGCATGAGACCCTTGCGCCCTCAAACACGCCTTCAGTTTAAGGAACTGGCATCTTTGACCTCGCCTTTCCATGTCAGCCGGAAGTACAATCACCAGGAATGTCTCAGTGTTGAAGGATGGAGTCATAACATAGCTTTTCTGTCTGGTGGGCAATCTTGAGTTTGGCGGGCGACATTACGAACGGATCGCAGGGTTTAGGCACAGTTTTCGCCCTGCCTGGAACTCGTGTGCCTAGTCTGAAATTCAAGGTAGCTCCATGTATTCCCACAAAATCCATACCCGATTCCTTGGACCTTAAGCCTATTGCCCCAATTCCCAAGCGACCCGTCTAGAGCCTAGGTCTGCTGCATCCGCTACAAGGAGATCAAGGCGCCGAGGGCAGCAACTGCGGTACAAGCCATTGAAGCCAACTGGGCAAACACTCATGCCATAATCAGACTATGACGCGTACCCACGACAGTCACCTTGTCGATTGCACCGCTGTTTCATAATATACCTACCCGTGCGATCCTACGCGGGGCTTTGTATTGAAACCGCTCCCGAAGTCCTGACATTTTGTAGTTCCAGTTCAAGATCCGAGTAACAATAATAATAATTGAATCACATTTTGACATGCAAGCAGTTTTCTCAAGCAAAGTGACATAGGGAAAGGTTCAGAGCCAGCATCCCGATGCAAGAACTGTACCAGAACGTCATATGACCACAAAGCCTCTGTGAAAGGATTGTAGTCGAATCCAAAGCAAGGTTGTGCCCCTTCTTTGTGGTGTCACTCTTACGCTGATGATTGTAATGCTCGGGATAGCAAGTATGGTGGTGGTGGTGGTGGTGGCGGCGGCGGCGGCAGGGGTGGTGGCGGCGGCGGTGGTGGTGGTGGCGGTGGTGGTGGCGGTGGCGGTGGCGGTGGCGGTGGTGGTGGTGGTGGTGGTAGTGGCAGTGGTAGTGGTAGTGGTAGTGGTAGTGGTAGTGGTAGTGGTGGCGGCGCTGCCGCCGTCGTGGTGTGATTGTTCAAGTATGCTAGGGACTGCTGCTGCACCTGTAGTTGCGGTCAGCGGGGGTTTGGCAGATCCAATAAAAACACTGGAGGATCCTTGAATCGCAAAGTAGCGCAGCAATGTTGCTAGTATTCGCTGCTTCAAAGCAAGAATGGTCACAATTAAGAGAAAGGCAAAAACACGAAGGTATAACATGGCAGTTTCCGGAATTTCCGGCCAAGGGAGCCTAATTTCATTTCCAATATGGCTGTGGTACGGCCATTTCACTGTGGACCTCTCGTAACGCCACTCCGTCTGCGATTTATTTCCACCATGACAAATCCTGATCTCCACGTTGTCCTTTCAAAAATAGCAAAACAGAATACGCCAGCCCTTGCATTTGTGCATGTCAATATCTTATAGAACTGAAATCAGGGACCCCCAAAGTCTTCTTGGGGACATGTTTGCCGTGAAGGGCTCTGAGGAGCACCCGAGCGTGGTCTCCGGACCTCAGTTGCTGGGCTTTGCGGAGCCTTCAGGAGGCAGGGGATGTGAGGCTGTCCCTGTACTGAACATCTTGTGGGGCAACAAAGCGGTTTTACTTCTCATGCCAACCAAAGCGGGTTTTGGGGAGGTTCCTAAACTTTGCATGCACTCTACGGGACCTTCTAGTTGGGTTTCTACTTCCGTGAAGGCTTCTTCATTCCCCAATTGGAAAAGAATGTACTTTCGCAGACCCATTTGCTAAGATTGAGCTTGATGTCAGTGGACCTTGCCACGCTTGATTTATCCGTGGGCCTGGATTTTGTATAGTAAGTAAGAACACTTAGGAGTACACTGACCCTCACAAATCTAACCTCGACTCCACCAATATACGCACATACTCTGCCCCAAAACCTCACTCGGCCTGGACTACTTATTCTTAGGGGATTTTGATTTCCCGTAGCCCTAAAGTAGCCTCAAAAGTCAATAGCCAACAGCATGTAAATTGAGTTTTATTCGTAACTTCAGTATTAGTTCAAGCTATGTCGACCCCGAGCCTGCCCCACGTAAGACACAATTTTAGCTCCAAACTCACAACTAGAAATCCTGGTAGCAGCCATTCCCGAAATCTGAGTCTTCCGGAAGACTAGGTATTCTAGGGGGTGGTATAATGATGGGAGAAGTGACTGCCAGTGTTGGCTTTGCTTCCCCTTAGTTACTTTTATTCCCTTACTTTTACCCCCGCCGGGCCCTGCAGTGCCCGAAATGGGTTCCTCAGATTTTGACCCTGCTTTGGCACTTACTGGGACTTGGCCTGATAATTGATGTTGGTGTCCTCAATATGAATCAAGCATCAACCGGTGTCTCCTGCTGGTCAAAGCAGTCAGGATACACGATTGGTTGACCTGCAGTCCAGTCTTCGGCAGTGGAGGAATCGTGCTTGAACAAATGCAGCAGGTCCTTACTACATCCTATCACTGATGCTGGATGTCGACAGTCTCTGGCGCTGCCGACGATTTACAGCGTGAGTAAGAGATAGCATGTTTTTGTTGTCTTTACAGAAGATCCCACACCAATGAATGTTTACTGCGATGTAAATGCATATAGCTTGTGTCTTCAGGAGTAGTGCTAGATGATTGTAACAAGGGCATTTGCTGATGAACGGCTTCTGCAGAGTCTAGCAAACTGTTGACCTTCTTGACGCCTTCGCTGTCGTTTTGACATTAATTCGCACTCAACTGGTTTGTTGTGCGGACCTACCTGGGATGGTTGAGTTACAACATTCCCTGGGGTGCGTTTACCCCACTGGCAAGGGAGGGTCAGACGGTCTGCAGGGGGGTAAAAGTTTGCTAGTCGCGTTTCAGCTGTAAGGGGAACGTAATTACAGATTTGAGACCTCCCGACCTAACGAGTATTGTATCCTCGTGCAATGATAAGAAACGTTGTACCTTTTACGGGTTGGAAAATTAGCAGCTCGGCGGCAATTCCTCAAACCTTCTCTTGACCTAGCTTGCACCCTGCAGCCGAGTATTGACATGCGCATGTGTGCTGCAACTTCCTGACAGTTGCATGGATGCTACGTGCCGATTGCTTGGAGCTCAGACTTGGCAGACCACGGCATGGTGTTGGCCCCTCGTTCATGCAACCCCTCCCATTGTAGGCATTGAAGTTTCGGATCCCTGTAGCTGAGTCCTGAAATAAGAAAGGGCTGATTCGGTTTTTATCTTTGAAGGTTAACATGCTTTAGAGGCTAGGTGGGCCCTCACTAATTCTTGTTTGACCTCTGCGTGCCTCCCAGGATTTGAATATCTGCCTATCTTGACAGATCCCCACATTGCGCACCAACGCGCCTCTGGACAGCTGGCCTTAGAGGTTTCATGCCGTTCATGTGAGGCGTCTCGAAAATGTGAGTTTTGGAGGGTAGCGAGGGGGCCATCAGTTTGAGGCATTGCCACTGGGTTATGAGCAGGATAGTTAGCAGGCTGGGCGACTTGTAGCCCTGCTTGGAACTGCCCATGAACCACCAAGTCCCCTGCGAGAGCGGAATGCGACGTAAAGCAGCATGGAGTACTGATCTCCCTGAACTTACTATGGCTTGACGTATCTAGGCTGCAGCTACAAACGATGTGTGGATCCCCGTGCGTTTCCTTCCGCTTCACGAACAATGAATTTACAAATAGATCTGGCAAAGCTCGCTCTTCCTGCCTATGTTGGCAGCATCCAGCCGCCGCATGCTGCAAGTGGAGCTTGCTGCTGTCTTTCTGAAGCTGTCCCATACGTGGATTGTCTGCACGTTGTGATCCCTTGTGGTCCTGAACAGCACCCGTAGTTTCGGGAAACCTGCCTCCCATGTGGATGTGCGCTGTAAGCATGGCTGCTGAAATGAGCTCGGCATAGCGGAGCGCACGCCGCATTCCGCAGGGGTACTTCCTCAAGGTCCCTAGTGTGACAAGCACTTTCAGATTTGCCTTCTGACCTCCGTTCCGTACAGTCTTTAGGCCACACTCTCCACAGTTGAAAGGCTTTCGGGCATCGCTGAATCCGATTCGAGTTCACTTACCTCCTAGATCGCTTTACCTCACATGCCCTACCAATTTGCGGACCTCTGTTGCATGCATGCCCGGTGGCGGACAAAGCCATGGTGGCCACGTGGACGGCCAGCTTGCAGAAGGACCTCTTAGGGTCAGTGCTCCTCCAATCTTTCTTAGCCTGTGCAGAGGTTGCTTGGCAAAGTATACAGAAGGTAATTCTTGGAGCCAAGTACAAGGCCGACACTATGGATAGGTTGTGTAAGATGATGATGTTCAGCTCATACGGGGTTTCTCAAGACTAACGATCCGAATACTGGGCATGTATATAAGAGGGACCAGCATTTATAAAAATGCTGTTGACGCAGGAAATCCTGCCCACTCGAGATTCCTAAACGGACTTCCGCTACTGTAAGAAGATTGGGTGTGCCAGATGTCTTCAATGAGAGTTTTGCCGTCCCCGAAGGCGCAGGTCACCGGCAGCTCCTTGAGCTGCTCGGAGGATTTCGGTCCAGGGTTTCGGGTTGTCAACTTGGGAATTCCTTGATGATATTTGCTAGCCTAACCTTTACGTCGGGTAAGCCACACAAGGGCAGTTCTTTTTTCGGCGACATTTGATTTTTATGTCGCTGTCAGGGCTCCGCTAGTCAAGCAAGCGCAGCCAGTTTTGGAAAGTGCTTGGTTTGGTGTGAACTGATTGTCAAGACTCTAGGGAACATATGAAAACCTTAGCTGCCCACATGTGTAAGGGGCGTTGTGCCCCGCGGCTCAAGCTCAAGCCTGGTAGACCCTGACAGATGGGTATGACAGTCCACAATCATCACTAGCCAGAAGCAAAGACAGTCAGGCGTTGCAAGGCATGTGTGAGTGCAAAGTGAGGTTCCCGCATTTCCAGGAACTTAGAATGCCGCCAGGCTTGGGAATTGTGCCTCAGATTGCGACGATTCTGGATGAGTCCAGGAAAAAAGGTCTACTTGGCCAATATCTTTCGAAGCCGGATCAAGCGTGGCAGACAATGGGAGACACCGGGCTTCAGAAGGAACTCTACCGGCGCTTGAAAGAGGCCGTGCCCTGCATTGATGCAGCTGGTCTCACCAAGGCCACGGAAAGTGTTCTTTGCAATGCGAGTCTGGCAGAGTTAGCTCAACAGTGTGGCATGGAAGAGCTGACAAGGACATGGTCCAAAGCTATCCGTTCTGCCCACGATGACCAGATAGGCAAGGAAGCGGACGCCGTAGAGGCGCTGTACTTCTTCTGCAGCGATGTGTCGGAGGATAGTGGGCTAAGACAGGTGGCACATTTGATGGTATGCCAACTCTTTTGCAAAAGGATTGCAAAATTGTATCATGATGCAAGTGCTGTGAAATTCCCTGTGAAATCCCAGGTTCATAGCATGGATAGCGGGATTTCTCAAGCAAAAGAGGTTCCCTCAACAAGCTCTACTGCATTGCCGGAGTCGGTGGTTGGCGCTGACATGAAGGAACTCAATGAGGCCTTCCAACGGACTGCGAATACCCACCAGATTCTAGTTTCATGGGAACAGGTGGATCGATCAGACAAGCCAGCCTGGAAGATATCCACGTCTTGTGATGGCAAAGAAGATGGGCCAATTCTATGGAAAGACGTCAGGAAGGCCCAGGCAATCTTGTTGGCCAAGATTCATTGGCTACACTGCAACAAGCCTGCTGTGTACCAGAATCTTTTAAGTCAACTCAAGGCATGACTGTGGAATGCCAGTATGAGCGTAACGTAGGTCAGGAATCTGGGTGTCTTTGTGCACGGTTCGGCTGCTGCTGGCCCACAAGTGCCTGGCGATGCGGATCTGATCATCGAAAAGGGGCCGGTTAATCAGGCTCCTGGTAGCTTCTCACTATTTTATGTGAGTCAAAACAGTCAAAACCTCGCGGGGCCCGTGCATGTTGCTGCTTGCATCCTCTCTTGCAGCTTTCTTGTCTTCATAGGCGTGCTGAGCAGGCAGATAAGGGTTCTGGTTCCGCAGTTGTCTTTTGGAAATCACAAGTTATCAGGAATAGTATCCGCAACTTTCAGAAAGTTTACTTACCTCGAGACCGTTGTTCTAACTATCTAGGCCTCTACGTCAGCGAAGCTGGCATGCTGGGCCCAGGTCCGATTCAAGCCGGACTGCTGAAACATCATGTCTGAGGCAGGTGGTGACGTGTGTTGTAATCTGCTAGCCATGTAGCATTAGGGATTTGTGATTTTTTGCTCTAGAGAAAGGTGCGTTGGGCCTAGCGAAAGCTTGCCCACCTCAACTTTTGGTTTAACACCGCTGCTACCGCAAATCCTAGATCCTAGGTAATAACATGTTTTCTGTCCCTCTTGACAGATGCTTCCTCTGCTGGGCGGGCTTTTTCGTCCCAGCGGCTTGGCGTAGAGAACATCCGAGGTCCGTTCTTCCGAAGAAGTCTCTGAGGGCTCCGAGTCTATGTATTTAACGTCTTGAGGACGGTCTGCATCTCTGCGAAGAACTTAGGTGTGCTGCGAAATTTACCTCCACGCTCGGCGTGGCTTCAGCAGGCTGAACAGCTGAACAGAAAGCCGCACATGGAGTAATACTGCGCTTTGAATGCTCTGTCTCAGTTTTTTTGGGGAAGAGTAGGTGAATGGGGAGACCCAGATGTCCGAGAGATATCCATGACCTTCCAAAGACGTCACTGTCTCAGCAGGTCCGAGATCTTGGACGAGGATAACCTACTACCTCCGCAGTTAGCGCGGTCCCCAGTAGCCTGTTTTCCCCTAGCTTCGCTATCAGAAATCTGTAGAGGTTTTTAGCAAGGCACAGTCTTCTTTGGTGTGCAAGAAGAGGACCGTTGATCAGTTCTCTCGTGACAGATCTCCTTGAATCACGTGAAGGCAGTAAGAAATGAGGCCGGAGTGAGCATTCTGGACTGACGTCAGGGTTTCTCAGGATCATTGACCCCTTTTTTCGTGGCCCACAGAATCAAGATCGCATGGTGATTTGGAGCGTCTGAGGAGGACTCCTACATTGCGACATGTCTCAATATCCTGGCATAAAGGACGGCTTCCTCACGTTTGCAGAGCTCATCTGCCGCGTTTGCCTGGCGCAGGCCAGTGTGTATTTAAGAGTTTGGCAAAGGATTGGGGATTTGTGTTTAACTTTCTGCTTTCTCAGAATGATGGGTCCTTTGTTGCGCATCTTGCTGTTTTGAGACAACTTTTTGCAGTCAGCCTTCATCTTCCCCAAGATTGCTACAGAGGATGGAGGGTATCTTGCACCATTTCAGATCTCTAAGGCACGTAGGGTCTGGGTTACACAAGTTTGCTGCAACGTTGCGCCAGAAAAGCTGCAGATTCAATTAGCGCCGGAGTTATTAAACAAAAGGGCTGGGTCACTGTCTTTGTTGCCATCTGTGCTGCGCTTTCCAGTAGAACACTCTGTCACCAGAACTAAGCACAAACCCCATGGCCATCCTTATGAAACCCGCTTTGACATCTAGACATCGTAGCAGGATGCGGATGTCTACAAGAGGAGCAAGGGCTGATTGTTATTCGATAGTGGGATGCAACGTATGCAAGCGCTCTATCTGAAAAGACAGCCTCTTGAAAGTTGCGGGGTGCAGGTGCTCATGTTGATGGTCTGGCAGTTTGGACGTGCCCTCGCACACAACAAGGCGGAAAACAGCATGTCATGCAGAGCACCTGACAGTGGCTCCATAGTTAGACGGTTTTGGCTGACGTTGCTGGTGCTGAGAGAATCAAGCCTCGTCTGCAATGTGTTGGTGGAGCGCTCCTCCTCCTGTCCAACAAAAGCCTGAAGCTTGTGGATCCGGTATTGAGACTGGGGTCCAGGGCAAACCCCAAACCATCCCAAACCCATCTAGGTTTTTTGGTCGTGCAGTCAGAGTCTGCCATTCTGCCATGCAGACGCAAGTTCTGCAAGGTGGGCCATTTTCTCAACATCAGCTGCCCTGGCTCTGCGCTCTCACGATGGTTGCCAGCCATGGCATTCGCGCTGTTTACGCAGCTTGGCAATACTCCAAGGCCTGACAAGCTTTTCCTGGACTTATGTCTGAGGGCAAGCCGAGGTTTGTCATTGGTGTTTGGGGCTGTCGCGTGGGTGATGAGGGCCTTCCAACCTGGGCACTTCGCTATAGCCTGGGCCCCAGATAGCCTGTCTTGGACGGTGGCTGCACTCGACTGCTGAAAGATGTTTGAGGGACGGCTGCCGCACGCTTAACAGGAATTGGAAACACCGTAAGCGGTAGCGCGCGCATGTGGTTCCAGGCTGTCAACTGTACGAAAATTCATTATGTCAAATTTGGTCCAACCCTGTTCGCCGTTGAAGAAGCTGCGGGGGCCTGCCGTGGGAGAAGCCTAGCTGCTCTTCAAAAAATACTTGAGTACGAAGGTTCGCGTTAATTACAAACGTGAGGTCTTGTCGGTCAAGTTCTTAAAGATTAGCCACAGTAATAGATGCACCCTGCATGCGCCAGCCACTGGTGAGAATCATCAGAAAGCATGCGAGTCTGCATTTGGGGGCGCAACCTTATAGGGTACCAAGAATTTGCCAATCGAGAGCCCCCAGGTCATGTGTGCGACATCTTCTGCCACGCAATTGTGGCATCAGCGCTCATGGGCCTAGGCAGGGTAAGTCGCATGTCTGGGCCGTCCATGGGCTAGTCTGATGGCGGCCCACTGCTCATTTTCACCTAATTCCAGTGACAACTCATTGGTGAGAATTGAAACCCGCCTCATTCTGCTGGATTGTTTGGCGAGGTGTCGGAAATCACAGAAGCTAGTAGGGCCTGCGGATTGCAGTCGCTCCGCAGGATTCGATGTCGCGCTGGCAGCACGCGAGGTACGCAGAATGCCGAATGCCAAACATCCAATTCTTCGTTTCACAAGCCAAACCTGGGATGCCCAAGCCAACCTTACACCCAAACCAAGAGGCTTGGCCTCGCACAGGCCTATGAGTTCCTGCTCTGTTTGTACTGCTCATCGTGCTGATTATTGCGTGTTGTAATGTGAGGTCACTCTGGGCCTTGGCTGCTTATATATCGAAGGACGTGTACTAAGCCTGACGAGTGGCGCAGTCCTTGTTGAAGCATTCAAGAAGGCAAGAAACACGATGCCCTGCGAGCAACCTGCGCATGCAGAGAGTTAATTGAATCTTCTGCTCCCCTTGTTAACGTTGACTTGCCTTTAGCTCCGCCAAGTAAGTAACTGCGACCCAGGGGTGGCTTTGCACTTTCATCAAGCAGTTTGTGTTCTGCTGGGTCCTCAGCATGCAGTCAGCAAGTAGTGTGTTAGGGTTCTAGCAGGATCAACAATTCAGTGTGCTTGATTACACAGCCTGAAACCAGCCCAAGCGAGGGTGTCATGAAGAAGTCATCTAGGCACCTGCTCTGAAACAGCTCAGTGGCATCCTTGAACCGCGTGTGTGTTTGTGTGCGAACTGAAGGCCAGGACACAGTGGAAGCGCATGGTGTTTCTGGCCGTGAGGGTGAGACAGAGTTTGGCCCCTCGGTTTGCACTGAGCATGTTTTGATGGAGCAAGAGCTTAGCATGAAAGTGGAAGCTCATGCCAGCAAGACGAAGGGAGCTCAGAATCCTGACATAACAATATAGTTTATCGTGCCCAAGATTCAGTGAGCCGCAACCACTAAGGAACCCAAGATTGAGTACACCTTCTGGCCAAGGGATCCGACTCGGGATACTGAATAGCTGCCGGCAGCATTCCCACATAGGCAGTGCATTCTCACATTAAGATAGTCCACCACACAACCTGCTTAAGTCTCCCATCGTGTCATCCCAAAGGGCGGCTCCCGCTTTTGGAAGCTTCAGGCATTTAGGCTTAGATTGACGACTGCTTCAAGTGTGATGTGTCAATTGCGTCTTGGAATCCTGTCAGTACAAAACGCTGGTGCCCCACCTCAAGCGCAGTGCTCCTGTCATCGCAGCACTTCTCTCTCACGGTGCCTCTGGTGCCTCTGCAATAAGGTCAATACCTGACCTACTCCTTCCACAGCACGCCTGCTGCAGCTGAAGCCCACGCTGGCCGGAAAAGCCTCTGCGAACTTCTGAGAATCTGCAGCTTGGAGGATGAACTTAGGGGATCTGCAAACGAGAGTGAAACCCAGGCGAGGCTGCATCAGTTTGTGCGTGACGCCTACAGCTAACAGAATGAGGTCTAATCAACTAGTTATAATCAGGGAACGTGGCTAGAGGGACCTTGGTTATGAGACACAACGAGCAAAGCCTTGGTGTGTGGAACTCGTCTTCCGTTATGCCATAACATGAGCAACCACACGTACCCATCACTGGGCTCCTACGGAGAAGATCCGAAATTGCACCCATCATGTAACTTGGACTCTAGCGTCAGCTACGCCTTCAACAACTAATGACAAAAGTCAGCGTTGTGAAATGGCAGATGTTTGACCTTCAAGCCTTTGTGTCTATGGACACAGAACGTTCATGCACACTTCAGCAGTCAACTTGTACTCAGACGCCAAACCTTTAGCCTGAAGTACTTATCTCCCGCACCAGAGCACACACCCCCAACCCCAAAACCGACCCAAAACCCTAAAGTCTTCCAAGTACAACATCCCGATGATAACGGATGGATCTTTCAACCCAGAAGATCTCCACATACACCAGCCAGAGGCTTTATGTGGGCATCTTTTGTTTTCATGCTCTGGGCCTACACGCTGGCTGCATACTTCCCAGATCTCGTGACATGGACGCGAGCAGATTTGTTTTGAAACAAGGGTGCCCTTTCGTCTTGTTCTGAGGTCGATCAGGTTCTCGGGGTTTCAATGCTCGTTCAAGGGACCGAAGGGAATTGTCGAGGTTCTGTTTCCCAAAAAATTAGAAGCCTAAGCCCTTATCCCGTTATCCCTGACTCACACAGGCTCCTGACTGGATTGCCATTCTCGTCGACTTCGTGGGCAGACCCTGAGCAGAAAGGATTTTGCCAACAGGCTGAGGCTGCATTCTCGCTCTTCCAGGTGCATAATGCGATGACTTGAACAGAACTTGGGACCTCTTCAAGACTAGTGCCCCGCATAAACCCCGCTAGAAGGACCCCGCAAAAAGCCACAGGCTCTGAGAAAAACGTGAGTAGTAGAGCCTGAAGCTGTGCGGGCTCTCCTCGCACTCAACAATCAGAACAGCTACTAAAAATCATCAAAGTATGTAGCAGCCATAGTGCCACTACAGTTCATTTCATTACCGCACGCTGCTGATAGCATGTCAATGCGGAAAGCTGAAGTCAGCCAAGGATTCTGCTGGGCTGGCATAAGCTTTTGGTTGATGTCTTCTGCCCTCTCTCTGCGGGGTGGCTTGGCCTTGATTGCCGAAAGGTGAGCCTTGTAGAAGGTGCCCGGCTGTAAGCAAGCGTGGAGCCTGAAAAGGGACATCTAGCAGATCCTTGAAGATGCGTATTGCATAGGCTTCCATGTCAGTCCGCGGGGAGGGTAGACGGTTTATTTAGTGATATTTAGTGTAGGGTAGAGGCAGCTTGTTTTCTGCCGTAACCTTGTTCTCGTTCCCTTTGGGAATAGTTTCTGGACTTTAGTGGTAACATGAATTGTACTCGTGTGTGAAGATGTGGGGTACTCTGCCATGTCTTCCTGCAAGCTGAAAGGCGGCCCACACTTTCAGACGTTCCAGTCCAGTTGAAGCACAGACCTTCAAAGACCAGCAATACACGGCATGCATGTCCTCAGCTTAGGAGAGATCATGTCCCGATAGTTTTAGAATTGAATCGATCTCTTCCAGAAAGCTCTCACATGGCTCCCGTCCTGATGTTTGCAGATGTGGCCAGATGTTGGCGTCGGGATGGTTCCAACTGTCGGGCACTAAGGTTTCACGAGTAATGCACGCAGTTTGCATCTGTTCAAAATGTGTATGTTTGCAAAGAGATTGATGCTTTATCACGATCGGGCCATGACAAATTCGTGGTGTTGCGCAAGTGTCTGCAGGAATGCCTTGCCTCTGCTAGATCTTTCTCGTCCGTTTGCCTGCATTTCGAGAAACTCACGTGGTACTGTGAGTACTTGAGGGATCTTCTGCGAATTTTGCAAGTTGCGATGTTGGATTCTAATGTGAGACGTTTGGCAGAAGCTCATGTTCTGTTTGCATGCAGCCAGGCCAGTCTTCTTTGTTTATTCTGGTGCAGCAGGAATTGAAGTATACACGGAACGTTCAGGGTCTCCGAATCTTTGTAAGACGAAAAAAAAAGTTGTTCAATAAGAGAAGCTTGCTCCAGTATTTCTCAAAGAAGAGTCCCCAAGTTTAGCCCCCACATCTTACGTAATTCAAGGGAACCATATGAACCCTATGGACCCATACTTTTGCGAACTCCCTTTGACAACAAAACGATGGGCAAGGTGGGGGGTTTGGGTGCGGGCACTGCGGAAAACTTTGTGAACCTTGCTGCAGCCCCCCCTTTCTACCTGTGGCCCGGGTATTGCAGTCAGTCGCTTGGGGATGTTTTGGGATCACCTGTACTTCAAGACTTCCTCAACCAGACAACATTGAAAACTAGGTGCATCAGTGACCTAGAAAACCAAGTCAGTCCTAAGGCTTTGTGTGGCTGGATAAGTTTGGAGCTCATCACTCAAAGAAAGAGAACAAGGGCACTGCCAAGTGCTCAAGCAAAAGTTTTCTAAGCTGGAGGTCGGCGCTAGTCATCAGCGATTTGGAAGTTTTATCTATGTACGTTCGGGGTTTATTCTTCGGCTTTGAGCGGACTTACTTGTTTCCGATGACTACCCTTGACATACGAGTAGCCTGCCCCGGCCCAGGTCAGAGCACCCTTGGAATCCAGCCAAGCGCCGTTGAAACTCAGGCGGGCGTGTTTGCCCTCGGTGCCTTGTAGGGCGAAATGAATCATCGGGGCTATACTTAGGCACATGTAAGTTGTCTACTGCTGTAGAAGACCTCCATTCCCCAATTCCCTACTCAGCGCAGAAAGCAGGCTTTCAATGCCATGGTTTTCTGCGGTCGTGTTTCTACGGGCCATGCCATTCTTGGGGATGGAGCGGGGGGAGAAATCTGCATGATTTTGTATGGTGTTCTCAGCAAAAAAGGGAAGGTGTTGCAATTTTTTTTGGGAGCAGAGAAAGAACACAGCATTGTATCCTGTACAGGCTCGTGCCACTGCAGTTTTGGCATACATGGTTTGGAAAGCTAGAATCCTTAATGGATGATCACGAGAAACAAGTGAGCAAACGAAGAACACGTGTGATAGTGTGATATCACGAAAGCTCCCCGTGTGG